AAGTTGGAGCATTGCATGATGGTTGGCATTTTGGGAGCATGCGGTTTGCATGATGTAGGTTTAGTTCAGCTACATTTTTTTTTAAACTGTAGTTTTTACCCTATTTTTAGTCTTGTATGTAATGTAGTCCACCACAGTGGCTTGTGCTTAATGACAGCAGAGCCAACAGCAGCCTAAAGACATTTTTACTCAACAGAATTTCTATTCAGGGGCTGTGGACAGTTGTAGCCATGCACAATTAGCATTAGGAACCGTTAACTGTGGGTGTCAGTTTGTTGGCGACGTTGTGAGATGCACCTTTGCATTGTGTTGCCATTTTCACTGATCATCACCAGTCTGTAATTTGTGGTCACTCACTCACTCATGGATGGTAAGTGGAGGTCCATGACTGTGGGCTTGCATGTGGTGAATTACATATTTCTCAGCAAATTAATTTGCTCATCCATGGCAGTGCCTTGCAAATTTGTATTATTTATGCAAGCCAAACTCAGATGAACTGCAGCCATCATTTTAAGGAGTTTTTATTCCAGTAAAACACACAACAACTAATAGTTTCCATTTGGTCATCCATAATAGCTAAGCCCATGTATACTGTAGCTTCACCATATGTGCACTGTGGACCTGCTTGGTTTTATGTTCATTGAGATAAAATTAAAGACATTCCAAAACACAGAGGAAATACATATTTATTGTCTGCCTATATATTAAGTGTTTCCACAAGACATTTAAGGAACGAAAGAAAAACAAGCAGGGAGAAAGACAGATCTGTTGCACGTGGGTGATGCACTACATTTCCTCTGTCTCTTGTATCCTCTTCTCCGCATCCATATCTCCTTCTTCATATTTTAGTAGCAGTCTGAACCCTCAGGCTAGGTTTAGTGTGCTTTTCTGCTTTCCTTTCCCTGTTCTTCTATCACAACTAACTACAAAATGCCAGACAATTCACTCTAGTCATCCTCTGTGGAAAGCTGATTGCCCACCCCCACCCTTTCTCATTGGGTGGCACAGTTAGGCCACTTAATATCAATATTCTCTTTGTGGTAGGAGATGGGGGGGCAATTGCCCTGTCCGTCAGAATAATTGCACACAGATATCTGCACACATGCCCTGACTTGTGCACGCACACAAGCCTTGCATGCTTGCACACTGGAAAACACGATAACTGGGACATACATACACAGAATAGAAGAGCTGTGACACACACACACACACACACACACACACACACACACACACACACACACACACACACACACACACACACACACACACACAAATGCTCGTAACCCCACATGCACAAGAGAAATGGGCAGAATGGGGACAAACAAAGTGGGAGTCACACACACATTCGTTGTAGAGTTAGGATGAGGAGACATAAAGAAAGGCTCCATTCTGCTGGGCACCGAGACACACTCATGCAGAAAGCAGCTACCGCTCTGTTAAGTGTGGCCTTAGGCTCATACCAGCATGAGTGAACGAGGTGGACGAGAGATCATTTTTCAGAGTGATGCCCATATCAGTTTTTCAAAATTGATCCAAATTGTTTGCATCAGACACTTGATAAGAGATTTCAATGATGTGTGTGTTGTTTTGTTGTCTCAATCATACTCATGCTCACACTACACTCTTAAGTCGAGGATGGAGTATTTCTCACACAGATGTAACTCAGATATTGTCACATATAACTGACCTGGACAGTGGTGTTGGATTGCATTAGACTTTCCAGGTGTGCCTAAGAAAGGAACCACTGAGTATGTGTAACACGTATTAATATGCACTCCAAAGAAACAAAAAGACAATAACTAGATTTGTGCAAGCTGAGACTACAGATGCACTGTCACTGTGGGCTCCTCACTGAGAGCTTGCATTGAGCTATATTATTATAGTAATTATAAGATAGTGCTGGTAGCTAGGCATCAAAATTCTCAGGATTTTAACTGGTTTGTGTTAGTACTATTAATAAATCGGGGATTTCATTGGCTTCTTGTGTTTTCCACTCTTCACTGAATTTTAGATCCCAACACATAAATATGAAACATGTTTGATAGATTTGTTAGCATTGTAGCTTGGCCTTACCTCAGCCCTTCCCCTTTTCTTAAGATGATCAGATTTGATTCAGATCAGTCCTATAATCAGGCACAGTCCTGTACAGTTGGCTACTACTAAGGCATCTCAGTGCTTGTGTTTCAGTATTTAACAGCCAAACATAATTATGTATTCAGAATGTTGTGGTTCATTTGCAGGGCACACTGAATAACTGCTCTGTATCATCTTCTCTAATAAAACTGCCAATACTGTGAAATGTGCTCAGAGATTACGCTATAATGAACTCTCCTCATTTTCATTAAGAGGTGAATGTTGAATGAAGTTATTAAACAGTTAAGTTATTTTAGGAATACAGCACATAGCTCATTACTCATTTACTATTCCGTTTACACATAATATATTTAATTGCTTATCTACTCATTGAGATTAGCCCGCAGTGGAAGCCCATGTGGTTCCTGTCTTTCTCTGTCCCTGCACAGTGAAAAGCTTGCGTGTTCATAAACTAGGAATAAAATGCATGCGTTGTAAAATGTGTGAATTATTGAATGAAGCTGAGTTGTGTGTGTGTGTGTGTGTGTGTGTGTGTGTGTGTGTGTGGGCTCACATGTGTTTCTGTGTAATACTCAAAACTATGTCACGCAGCTCATGCACCACTGCACCCATTTACCGGTGGAACGTCTCTGCAATGTGCAGATCTAGACCACAGCAATTGAGAACGATCAAAACATACTCGCAAGGCCCGAGTCCACACAGAAACATGCATAAAGCACACACATGTTCATTGATGCATGGGTAGTTGCACAAATACACTCATACGGTCCATAAGCATATACTGTAGCTTTCGTAGCAAGCAATCAATGTAAGTGCACTGTTTTGTGTCAAATGTACGTACATACACACAAACACCCACACAGTGCAATATTGTATGCGATCTTGTGTGTAGTCTCCAATAATCACTATCATGGTTCTGCTCTGATTTCTCTTTTATCTTGTAAAAGCTGCATTGAAAACTTGCCATTAGTGCAGCCAGATGATATGCTATATATATGAATAGCTGAATAGATGCAGGTCACTTTGCACCCTCACAGCGCACAGTGCATATAAATTAATGTTGCTGGCAGTTGCTGATGTATGAGCACATCAGTGAAATATGTTGAATATATTGGGTGTGTGTGTTGCAGAAAAACAGAAATTGACTCAAATGTTTGTTTGTTTAAGATGTGAGTCTTTCACTTATAATACTGTAAATTATTATTATTATTATTTTTTTAACCTGTCCTGCCCAGGAGCCTGGTATAGAGTATGATGACCTGGATACCATATTATGCCAGACAGATTTTACTTTAACAAGAGAGTATTAATATACTCCTTTGTCTGTTTTATTATTTATTTAATTATGTATTGATTTGTCAGCGGGCCGGACAGGGGGGCAGACACAGGGATGGGGGGGCACAAACAGACAGCACAGAGAAAGGACAAGACCTGTAAGAGAAGGGGGATGGAAGGTGGGGACAACAGGGAAAAGCTGTGGGAAACACCAATTGCAGAAAGCAACGAAACCTGCAATAGAACAGAGAGGGGGGCTTGGGGAGGAGAAAAACAACAACAAACAAACACAAACATACAATAAAAATAATAATAGTAAAAGACAACCAGCCGAACAGCAGCAATAAACAGCTGACATAGTAAGACAACTAAGAGAAAAATGAAAACAAGAAACAGTCCAGCACACTAAATAAGCAACACAGCACAGCCACGAGAGCTGGAATAATAACAATTAATTTAAATAAGTAATAATAATAATAATACTGTAAATTTAAACAAAGACTTTATTTAAGTCTATTTAAATAAGTTCAAAGCAGTTTTCCACCAACCAGTTAAGTCTGTTGGTCTTTTTTTTTTTACTTCAAAACATTTCGCTAGCAACGTTTCTCTTTTCACACGAAGCTCACAAACAGAGAGAGAGATCTGTGAGACACTCAAACTGTTGTACTGTGTACACCTTCCTAAAATTTAGGGCATAATTAAATATGTTGTGCTGTGCTTTTTCAGTATTAAGGACCTAATTTAGTTTATATGGAACAGCAGTTTGTAAAAAAAAATAATAATAATAATTATTACAAATTGATTCACCTGGCATGAGCACAATTAGCCACTACCTAAATGTCACCAACAGAAAGAGGGGTTACACTACTGGCCACACTGCTCGAGTGACCACTGGCCATTGATTGTTGCCTCTGTGTTTTTATATAGAAAAAAGGAGCTCAAACATTATCTGCACTTCAATAGTTGTTGAAGGGTTCACTAAGGGTGCTTTTTGTCCTTTCCATCACTCACATCACTTTTTCCAATTATTATTTGAACTAGCAGCCTGAAGGTCACAAGCCCAACTGTTGTCTGTGGATAGCCTGCTGTTTGTTTGCTCAGTGTATTGACATGGCTCTAGTTCAACCTTCAGAAGATCTGTCTTTGCTGTCCCCTACTTCAAAGGGATTTTGGGTAATATGATTGCTGTTATACATATTTCATGAGCTTCTAAATATTGATGGAATACTTAGTAGCATAAGTTGCAGCAGAGGAGTATGGACACATTTGTCCTCCCTCTGGCACTCCTTCTATCCTGTTTGATGGCTATTGCAGGTTAAATATGAGCTTTCTCAGATGTGCCACTGATAGCAGTTACCTTTTTCGTGTGTGTGTGTGTGTGTTAACATCATGCACACTCCTTCCCACATGCATGACAGATTTAATAACACTGTCGAGCTGCTTTACTCATTTTGTGATATAACACTGGAAAGATGAAATGTGTGGGTGTTCAGAAGAGACTTTTGAGACAACAGTATGATTATGATACGCTATATTGCACAAGCCAGTGCATTCAGGTCATGTCATGTCATAGAGCTTTATGGCAGGTTCAAAATAAATTCATAACTCCCCATTTCCTTTCTCCACAGCCTTTTCATCCTATGGTAAACCTAGTGTGCAGCCCTGACCTGAGGATGTTCCTGTGTGCCCTGTACGCCCCGGTGTGCACTGTGTACGGCCAGGTGTCCATGCCATGTCGATCCCTCTGTCAGCGGGCGAAGGACGAGTGCCACAAAATCATGGAGGTATTTGGAGTAGTCTGGCCAGATGACATGGAGTGTAGCAGGTGTGTATGTTTGTATTACATTTTAAATCAACTCAATACTTGAACATACAACTGGTGTCATCACAAACAGGGTATTGAAGCATCTAATATAAACAATGTTGGTGGTAACGTGTTACAAAGTAAGGCATTACTGTAATCAGATTATCATTAATCGTCGCGTTACTTGTGTACTGGTTCTTCAACTATCCGCATAACGGGAAGAGAGAAATAAATCAAACGTCCCTTTTCGTGTGTGTTTGCGTAACACTTTTCAGGCCCCCTTTTGACTTTAGCGCCAGTTCATGAGGATGCAGTAATGGGAGAGCTGCTAAAGACGTCTTTTGAGGGGTGGAAGTATTGTATTAGTTTCGAGAAAGGACAGCCATACCCTCTAGTGCTGGGCAGTTTTGTGCTGACTCCGATAAGGAACAGGTTGTCTAACAAACAATTTGAGAGACTCCTGCTCATCAGGTATAACCACTTCTTTGAAAAGCATGCCCAGTAAGAGGGAAAAATCTACTTTAATGCCATGGTTCGGCTAGTGAGCTACTCTAAGTTTGTTGTGTGGGTTTGGCCTGTTAAATGCACAGTTCAAATTACATTACATATGCTGTATGTAAGTTTTTCCTTTGAAGTCTCACCATCATCTGATATTGTGATGAGGGCCATTGTCTTATTTTTTTTGTGTATTATTTTCAACAAATTAATATTTGCACTGGTTTAAAGGACAACCTATTTTAAGTTATGTTGTATTGTAATGAGAAAAAAAAAATGGTTCCAATGAAATGCCACTTAAAGTTTTAAGCATTAGGCCTGTAGTACTGTACTGCAGCCTTGTTCTTCTCTTGACAGATGTTGGGCTGATGTTCACAACTTTGTTGTCAACTTTGTAATATTAAAGAGCATAAAAGAGACATCATGTGTATGTTCTCATTATAATAAGAATTTGTGTTGATCTGGGCATATATGAGGTGTAACTTGTTATTTGGCAGTTATTGTGCATCGCAGGTGATGTTACGCAGTAATCCAAAAGTAATGTAAATAAAGTGTAACTAGTTACTTTCAGAAGTGAGTAATCTAGTAAAGTAAGGCATTACTTTTAAAAAAGTAACTAGTAATGTGTAATATATTACCTTTTTTGAGTAACTACCCCAACACTGAATACAGCTGGTAATATTATTCTGGTTGTTTGATTTAGAAAAAAATATGTGTGTGTGTGTGTGTGTGTGTGTGTGTGTGTGTGTGTGTGTGTGTGTGTGTGTGTGTATACATACATATATACACACACACACACACACACACACACACACACACACACACACACACACACACACACACACACACAGATTATTTAACAAGGACTGAGCCGGCAATATGTGTTTAGCATATATCTCAAATGTGCGCTGTTCCTGTGCCTCCTGCTTCTCTTTAAACTCATGCCAACGACATCAAACCAACCTAACTCTAAACCTCAGCATCTTGCCACTGTTCTTACATTTTTTTAACTGTCATCCCTAGTTTCCTCTTCCTTTCTAGCTTCCTATTTTCATCTCTCAGATCAGCTATTATCCTCATATTCTGTCTACATGATCTAACTGTGTAATTACTTTCCTAGGTTCCCAGATTGTGACGAGCCATATCCTCGTCAAGAGGACCTGCTAACAGACTCTGACCCCACTGACCAGTCATCCATGACTGTCCAGAGAGATTACGGTTTCTGGTGCCCCAGGGAGCTCAAGGTTGACCCAGACCTGGGTTATACATTTATGGGCAGGAAGGACTGTTCTGCCCCGTGTCCCTCAATGTTCTTCAACCAGCAGGAGCTGACCTTCATCCGCTATTTCATAGGAGTTGTTTCTATTGTGTGTCTGTCCGCAACGCTCTTCACCTTCCTGACGTTTCTCATTGATGTTACCAGGTTTGAACAGCTGAATGTTTTACATCTGATATTTACTTGCAGAGTAAGATTACTTCTAAAATTCAAGAATGATCAAGAAGACAAATTTAGAAGAAATATGACTTAAAGTGTAAAGTAATTGCACAAATAAAGACATTTTGTAAATATCAATTTGTAAAATAAATTAAGTAAGTGGAAAGAAAATTTGTTCATTGTTGTTTTTGTTTTTTTGACACCATTAGGTTTCGATACCCTGAGCGGCCAATAATCTTCTACGCTGTGTGTTATGTCATGGTGTCCCTGGTTTTCTTTCTGGGGTTCCTTTTGGAAGGCAGGGTAGCGTGCAATGCAGTCAGCCCAGCCCAGTTCAGAGCTTCAACCATAACACAGGGCTCACACAACAAGGTGCTTTAGCTCATTTCCATCTAGTATCGCCATAATAATCACTCATCTCATGGTAATGTTTTTGTCTGTTAAGAAGCTTGTTTGATGTGTGATGTAATGAAAATTTGACATTATTCAACTTTTCCTCTGTGTTTTTTATTTTTTAGATTTTGTGAATTAAATCAGTTAATTCTCGCATGATTGATCATAATGAATTCGATACAGATAACGTGACAACTCAGAATGTAGGTCTTATTAACTCAGTACAGTGCTTATTAGATGATTAACTTCGGACTTTAATTGATCGTAAATTATCTAGCTAGTGATTTGTTGCTGCATGGTTGATAAAAAGTTGTCGCTCCCACTTTCTCTCTCAGGTATGCACCCTGTTCTTCATGATCCTGTATTTCTTCACCATGGCCGGCAGCGTGTGGTGGGTCATACTGACAATCACTTGGTTCCTGGCCGCTGTGCCTAAATGGGGCAGCGAGGCCATTGAGAAGAAAGCCCTCCTCTTCCACGCCGTGGCCTGGGGGCTCCCAGGGACCCTGACTGTCACCCTGTTGGCCCTGAACAAAATTGAAGGAGATGGGATCAGTGGAGTGTGTTTCATAGGGCTGTATGACATAGACGCCCTGAGGTGGTTTGTTCTGGCACCGCTCTGCCTCAACGTGGCGGTGAGTAAAGTCAGAAGATAAATGAGTGGGTGGGCGGATGAAAGAGTTGATGAGTAAGATGGATGTATAGGTGAACAGATGAATGGGTGGATGGATGAAATGATACAAGAGTGGATTGAATGTTGGAGTTATGAAGACATGGATGGATTAGCAAATGGATTAGTGGATGATTGACAGTCTTTTGTCAGTCACCCTGCTCATTTTAATTGTGTGCCTGTCATTTGTCTTCCTGTCTTCAGGTGGGTGTCTCTCTCCTGTTAGTGGGCATTGTGGCTCTGAACCGGGTGCGCATGGAGATCCCTCTGGAGAAGGAGAACCAGACCAAACTGGTCAAGTTTATGATCCGAATGGGAGTGTTCTCAGTTCTCTACCTGGTCCCCTTGTTGACTGTGATTGGGTGCTACTTGTACGAACACACCTACCGGAGCATTTGGGAGATAACGTGGATGGAGGAGAACTGCAGGCACTATCACATCCCCTGTCCATATAAGGTAGATAGAGGGGCAAATGAGAAAATCTGCTTGTGTGAGGCTATGTCATGATATTATTTGTGAAGACTTGTTTGTGGAGGAAAGCATGCCGTGGATATGTCTAAGGTGAGAAACCATCTGCTTCTTAACACAGTGTAAATATAAATAACTTTATTTGCTGTGATCAGTTGTATTTAGGGCTGGACGATATGGCGAAAAATCACGATAAAAACTTTTATATCTTTCGATATCGAATTATCACGATAAGTATCAAATCATTATTTCTTTTGAGTTTAAAGGCTGATTTTTGCTCCTGAGTGAAATTTGAAGAAACCTGATGGTTAATTGGGTTTTAAACTCTTCAACATGTTCAACACTTGATGCCAAACAGTGGATCACTTCACAAATCTGAGGTGGAACACTCAAAACAATTATGATAAAATCTTTGTCAACAAATATATAAAAATATATAAAATTGAGTAAAATCTTTTTTCGGTCCTTTTTCCTCAACAAAATAAACATCTTAATAAAAGAATTAAGTCCTAATTCGTGGATGATTCAAGTGAATAAAATCATACATTTATTGAATATTTATTGAAAATTTGTGTAACATTTATATTGCAATAATTATTAATAAATATTTGTTATTGTTTTATTGTCCAACCATAGTTGTACTCTTAACTGTAAATCTAGATCGTCATGTAAGATAAAAATATATATGTGTTTTTTACTTATTTATTTCCTTGCTCAATGTCCCGCCCACATCTGATTGGTCACATGTCACGAATAATAGCCTATCAACACTTTACTCCAGTGAGCAGCGGAGCTGTATTGAAGAGAAGGCAGCCAATATTACTGAAGGTGCAATAAACATCAAAATATGATGAACTGTTACACCAGTGAACGTGCCCGAAGTCACAGCTACGGGGTTTCACTCAGTGACACTCTTGAAAGTGACAGCTTTTAAATCAGTCGCTCTCTCCATACCCACTCACTGCGCTTAAACACAGCATGCATCTGTCTGCTTTTCACTGCAACTCTGCTTCACAATGTAACGTTATATATTTATTACTTTTAAAAGTAACAGTGGCAGTAAAACCTTTTCTCATACTGTGATGGTTAAACTGTGAAGTCAATCCACATTTCAACTGCGTGCTGACCTGTGCAGAGGAAGGTGGGGGGTATTTTCATGACAAAAAAAAATTCTTTCAAAACACCCTCCCTCTGTTTTTTTACAAATTGCACCCTCATAATCCTCATAAACAGATAACATGGACAAAATCCATATGAGGATTTGTAAAAAGGCTAGAGAGAGGAGGGAGAGGTAAAGAGGTGTGTGAGGAGCCCTTTTGTAAATTTACAAAGGAAAGTTTTTAATTCATGTTTTTATTGAAAAATTCCACAAATAAATTGTTGTAGTTGTTACACTAATAGACCACCATTACATTTTTCCTGTCGTGCACCCCCTAGACGCAGCTCACACCACACTTTGGGAATCGCTGGACTAAAGTGTTTTCTGGGATTTGCAAGACATCATTGCTACCACAAAGTCGACAGAGCAAAAAACATGACCATCATACAGGTTGTAAACAAGCAAACTGTTTAGCCAGATTTTCTAAACCACTTTATTTGGTGGTAAAACTGGAAGATAGCAGTAAATTCAGAAGGTAAATTTTAAACCACGCCGTCGTTCTGTAAACTGTGATTGACAATTTGAATAATCATTTCAGTCTTTCAAATAAGTTTGACTAACCTGTGGATTTGGTTACAACCTGTATTATCACTTATTATTCTTGCCCCACCAGGTTTCATTAATACAATGACCTTGATCTCAGCAATCAACTTGAATACAGTGTTATTATTACCAATAGACCTATTGGGCAACATACAAGACGCAAATTGTAATAAACCAAAATAACCCGTCACTGAGCAGACAGAGTGTGTGTGTGTGTGTGTGTGTGTGTGTGTGTGTGTGTATGTGTGTGTGTGTGGCGTGCTTGTTTGAGTTAGTTGGATAGAGGGCCGGCGGTAGCACGTGTGTGTGTGGCTGAGTGAGTAGGTATTTGTGGAAGGGAGGGAGCAGAGCGTAGTATGCATCATTAGCTCAGCTAATTCAGCTCTCAAGACCAACTCCACACAAAGCCACCATCTCGATGTTACACTCTGTTTCTCCGTCTCTTTGTTTTTCACTCACACACTTATTTCTTTCTTTCAGTCAGTCTCCCCCTTCCACCCCTCTGCTCTCTCTCAGGGCTTGCTCAGTCATGCTCTGCTGCCTGTACTCTACAATGTCTTTGTAGCGGTTATGAAGAGTGGTGGGAGTGTGGTGTGTTACAGTCTGGTGCTAAATTAATAATCACATGTGCACAATGCAGACACAAACACACTCCCCTGTTTTGTGTCCCAAGCGCACACACAAGACAACGAGAGCTTTTCATTGGTTTGTTAAACCATAAGGCATCAAAACCTTTACTTTAGGCGTTTGTTTATGTTTCTATTTTTTATGATTATTCACGCTCAGGGCTGTTAGAGTGGTTTTATGATAGAAGAATTACAGCTAATTTGTGACTGACAGACTATATGAGATGGGGTGGAGGCAGGTGCAAGTGCTTATGTTACTTGTTAATCTATGTGTGTGCATTAATGTGTCTGTAGCTGTGTGTGTGAGCTCATGAAGAGAGAACCCCCTTTATGACCTGTTGTCGCTCTGGAATTTCAATATTGCTATGTGTTATGTGATCTTTACCCTGGGGGGGGGGGTTGCATGTGTAAGAGGGTACAATTACATGTTTTTTCATAATTGAAGATTCTGTGGGCATTGTTGAAGTTCAGGTGACTTTGTTTTGTGTGTGTGCATGGGTGGTAAATTACTGAAGTCCCAGGGCATCTTGTTATATCACAGGACCTAAATCTCAGACATTTAATCTCAGACTGGGCGAAACACACTAAAGCTAATTAATACATACCCATTCTTCTGGCCTCTGGTTCTTTCAAAAGCAAGAAATGCTTTCAAAGAGATGTGTGTTAAAATGCTTTGTGAATAGCATCTTTACCAGGATATAATCTTTTAAGTCTTTTGCACAGATAGAATGTCTTTAAGTGCTGCACCAAGTCTGTAATCACTACACTTTGTGGGTCCTCAATCTTAAAAGGCCACCTGTAATCGTCCATGTAGCTACAAAAAAATATGACTTTTGAGATTGTCTCAGCAATCATGTCACCCCCACACATCACCTGATTTTAATTGACTTAAATGTTGCAACCACACATATAAACACATATCCTCCCCGAAATGGAAATTCAGCCATTATCCATGTCAGTGAAACCCAGACAAAACATAAACTGACAATATTCATGTATTTTTATACAGTACACCCCACAACAGTGTGAAAGCACTGCCTGTGATGACTATTTTAGATACAATGAATAAAAATATTCTACTGTTTTGTAAATTAAAATTGTGGTAATGGTTTGTTTACAAAATACTTTTTATACATTTTTATGCTTGTTTTGGTTCTGCGTAAAGATGTCTCTGTTAACTCAGCACTTGCTGTGTGTGATCACTCTTCAGTTTTATCTTTCAGAAAGATAAAAACCTGACTTGAAGTGAACTACTGTATACCTCACATTTAAATATCTTGTACACTACTCTTGCTCTCTGTTTCTGTTTTTAAAGTCGATGTTTCAAAACATTAAAAGGTAGTTAGGAGAAATTTGGGAATTTAGATTCTTTATATTGAGAGTGTAACTTTAAACCAAATGTTCTATTTACAAATATACCGCTCAACCTTCAGAACTGCAATAAACTACTGCCCTCTGGTGGTAGAAACTGTATCCTGCATCAAAGTTAAGGACTTACGAGGAGAGAGCAGTTGCTGCACATCCAAACTGCAGTTCAGCTGATGAAGCAGCTCTCCAGGATTATCTCCCCTCTTCCATCATTCAAACTGACTGACTGGGCTAAAAACACGCGTCAGTGCTGGATACTTTTGGTCAACTTAATGTATAAGTCGTTTCATTGGCATCCCAATCATTTTATATTCTTTTTGTGTTACTGTTGAGGAAATATCCGTCCTGCACTACCTACTTCAATGCTTGTCTGTTTATAAAATAATAAAGCTTCTCTTCTTTCTCTTATATTATACATTTTAGGCTGTATTTTCAACAGCCTCTGTTGCCTTAATTAGATCATTGTGGATTAATATTTCTGATTCTCTCTTTAGGTGGAGAAGAGCAGCCGGCCAGCCATGGTCCTGTTCCTAATTAAATATCTGATGATGTTAGTGGTGGGGATCCCCTCTGTTTTCTGGGTGGGCAGCAAGAAGACCTGTTTTGAATGGGCCAACTTCCTGCATGGACGCAGACGCAAAGAGTAAGAGATGGATTCTCGTGGATGGATGGATGACTTTTTGTTTTTAGTCTTGCCTCTCCCCTTCCTTGTTACTTGTTTGTTAATTATTTTTCAGGCCTGATTTAAAGGCTAAAATTAAAACAAGTTTGTGAGAGCACATGTACTGCATGACTGATTTTACTATTAGATAGTAATTTTGCATCTTACATTTTATTTTCTGCTCTTCGTCTCCCTCACTTCCCCATCTTTTCTGTCTCTTTGCACTCCTCCTTGCATCCCTCTGTCCCTCCTCTCTTCTAACCCTCCACTCTGCACTTCTCCATTTCTGTTCCCTCTCTTCATCTCTCTCCTAACACACACCCCTCTGCCTTCCCCTGCACCTTACCCTCGTCTCCCAATCTTTTACCCTACACCCCTGCCCTCCCTCACCCTCTTCTCTCTGTAGTAGTGGGGTGAATGAGTCCCGGCAGGTGCTGCAGGAGCAGCCAGACTTTGCCCAGTCTCTGCTGCGTGAACCCAACACTCCCATCATTAGGAAGTCCAGAGGAACATCCACTCAGGTAGGACTGCAAACACAGCAGTGATATAGCAGTATCAAAAGTAATCATTGTAGTGCTAGTTGTAGAAGCATCAGGATAAGCAAGAGTAATATCCGTAGTTGTAGTCCTTGTAGCACTATTAGTGGTAGCTCCAGGATTAGAAAGTAATAGTTGTTGTTTCATTTAAGATAAAAACACATGAAACCACACTGGGACTAGACGGCTGTGCAGGTTGAAAACTGAAACCAGATCTAGGCCTGTACCTTCATTTTTAAGATCAAACTGACTGAACCCAAACTGGAACTGTCTAATTTTAGACAGCTTCAAACCAGAAACTACATTGTTGCTTTTTTTCATCCATTACTGTCCATTAGCTCACCAGGCTAAATAATACTCACTCACTTCCTCTTCCCACTGGGAAGTGGGCATCTACTTTCAACATATGCCACATGGAAGGTTTTTACTAAATTACATTTTAAACTATCAAAATCCAAGTAGAGTCCAGAGCTTTATGTAACAAGACGGCCTGGGTTAGCTAACGTAAATCTTAACATAAAGTAAGATTTTTCTGTCAACTCTAAACAGCAAGCGCGTTGCATAATCAGTCTACCTAATATGAACTCTGATTATGTTAAATAACCCTGTTGACATAAGTAATTATTAAGGAATGCTTCATAAAATAAGCATTTAGGAACTGTACAATTTGATTTTATTGATTTGAACTTTATGAACTTTATTATTGATGGTTGAAGCAGACTGTGCACAGTATGTCTCTGAGGTCACTGAGGCAATGAATAGAATGAGCAGATACAGAATATAAACAGTTTTTAATGTTGTAAATTAACTATTATTAACTTTGAAATTAGTTTATTGGAAGTAGTTATTACATCTGTTTGACCTCTCATCCTCCTGTAGGGCACCTCTACCCATGCCTCTTCCACCCACTTGGCTGTCCTAGACGACCTTGACGAACCGGTCAGAACTCACCATGGCCACCCCACCTCCACCAGGAGTAAGGCCAGCAGCATCCACAGCAAGGCCAGCTACCATGGCAGCCTGCGCCGCACTCGTGACGACAGGTAGAACAGGAAAACATGACTTCCTGTCTGTCAAAAGTTGTGAATTACATGAAACTAAATATTTCTTTCCTTGTTTCTCCTCCCTGTCTCATGTCTTCATCTTCCTCTCTCAGGAGTGATACTATGGTTTACAGAGGTACAGAGGAGCGCAGTTTCCATGGCAGCATGCCACATCTCGACCACCCGCTCTCCACTCACAGCAGCCTCCATCAGATAGGCGGCCATTCAAGGCATGGCAGCCAGCGAGACGTGTCCGAGGCCCCACCTACCCTCATCACCCACGGAACAACAGCAAGTGACAGCCAAGCTGCTGAAAATGAAGGCACCAGCGCCTGAGAAGAACAACAACCTTCACAGGAAGTTATTGTAAGGATGCTGTCAATGACCTTTTAAAGAACGTTTTGCCCCCAGCAGACACACACCTGTCTGTTTAGTGTGGAAGTGTTATCCTCTATGAAGATGGACAATGTACAAGTGCTGTGGTGGTGATTTTTTGGTGTAAGTTCCTTGCCGATCATTTGTTAGCATAGTGGCTAAAGGCTAACACAGTTCAGTTTATGAACTTGACTGATCTGTCATAGATACAGTGAAGTTTGACTGTCAGCTGGGCCAAGTTTGTTTACTTAATTATTTGAATTTACACGGCAGTTGACTCCTGAATGCTTGACTCAAACAGGCTGGGCCATCCAGAATAAATATCCTCAGACGTTTGGGGACATCTGTGATGGTGACATTATTCAGGGATCTTTTTGGTTGTGCTCCGGTAAACCAGAGCTAGCATTTGGCAGGAAACACTGAGGAGGAGTTGTCGTACTGTGGACAAGAATGAAATATATATACACACACACAGAAATTGTTTCTTACAGGTGGACTCTGTATAATTAGATCCTGGATTTGAAGGTTGGGCACCAGTTTGGTCTTGAGAGCAGCGTGACCAGTCTTATGGTGGCATTATTTCCAAATCCTGATCTATTACCATCTTGCAGGACCTACGTAAATATTATTAAATATGTGAACACTGCAGAGGATTGCTTTTGTAACAATCTTAACTGGTTTGCCCACTCTCTTGGTAATGTCCGACAAAATATGACTTATTTCAGTCTGACTGAGACTTGATTATTCCCAGTCCTTGTTTGTGGACTGCAGCTCTTAATGAATGATGTTTATCTTTATGTGGCTTCAGAGGCCGACAAATATGGGCTTTATGTGAAATCGTGGACCTCTCTGTGATTTAGTGAAATATTTTTTATACTGTGAAAGTTGTCTCTCTGCTGCTGAAAGCTTCAGTGTGTGTGTGTGTGTGTGTGTGTGCGCGCAAGCGAGTGTGAATAGAGACACAAGTGGTCATATATGTTTTAAACTTCTCTCCTCCAGTGGTGAACAGAAAGTGTGATGGAGGGAGCTGAAAGATGAAAACTTGTGTAACCCAGAATGTAAAAGGGTTTCAGAGTCAGAAAGATGGAGATATAACAGGGACACGTTCGGGCAAAATGAGCCGGAATAACATGTGTGCACTTAGACACACACTCACATTTATTCCAGCTCAGACTGCTTTTTGTGCCTCCCAAAACCATTTTAGCAGTGACATTTCTGCATAGAGGCATTAGCCTGACAGATTAAAAAAGGCAGCTTTGGAAACAAGCACGGTGAGAGTTTACTTTTTGAACAATTTCATGTTCAGTCAGTTGTCAGCCAATCTACGTCAAAGAGTCTAGGAAATAAATAGAATAAATACTGATAAAGGTTAGCTAATAACCAGAATATTGTAACACAAATTCAGGTATGTGTCAGTCACTGCACTCAAGCCTCATGGCTGCAAAGACAGGAATGCAATTTAAAAATGAAAACCGATAACAGCGTCAATTTTTATTTTAAAATTTGTTGCATACATGAGGCTGAACTGTTGATCTTTGAGAGGAAGTGTTTTTTCCTAATGTAATTTTCACCACTGTACTTGATATATACCTAAACTGCTACTGTACATGCTCTTTACTCATGTTTGTTGTGTTGTGTTGTTCAGACATAGAACTCTGACTTACCCAAAGAGGTGCAGACAATTGGCAGTTTAACTGAGAAAAAGAAACCGTTGCTTACTGCGCATTGCTACATTTTCTCCGGCATTATTTTACGTTTAAGTAAATGTTACAGGAAGTGTTTATTGTACATGTTTTTCTATAGTTTGTTTTTTTCCCCTCCAGTCCCTGAAGACCCAATTAACCTACCTCACCTGTACCCTTGGCCTTCTCTGTACCTGCACAAACACACAGGCACACTATTGGGTGCTTTTTGTAAAGTAAAAAAAAAAATGTTGGAAACTCACACACGAAAAATCGCTTAATGTTGGTGCTTATTTCTGAAGAATCTGAACTTCTGTAAAATTTTACCCAAATCAGACTTCAATTGACTCATGGCTTCTGCCTTCTAACACACACACTCTCTCGTACAGACACATCAGTTGATATATCTGTAGCTGTCTGTCCTTCCCACAGTTGGATTTTTTCTGTCTACCTCTTCAGTTCACGTATACGTAGCTCTCTGGCCTTTCACTGCTGCCTCTCCCCTCCTGTCTGTCTATACCTGTTTTAGGTTTCTCATGACTAACTTCCTTCTTTCAACATGTCTGCATGTCTGTTGTACATAGACTTTCTGTCCCATCCGCTGACTAATCTGCCTCATATTTGCCTTCTGCCTCTCCTGTAAAATGTGCCCGCACCTGTCTTTTTTTGGACCTACAGCAACTGTCTGTACTCTTGCAATTTGTGACTGCTTACAAACATAAAGAATTTTTTACCTCTGAACTGGACATTAAAATGAGACATGCTGTGGTAAACACTGTCATTTAACTGAAGAGGAAATCTCTCCTTTTCAGCTATTAGATATCTCATTCTTGTCTATGATCTGTCTGCCACAGTGAGACATGAGGAAGAGGAACTTTCCTTTCTCCTTGATTTCTGATGTCATACAGTGAACTGCAGTTGCTTGAAAATATACATTATCAATGATGGTCCAAAAAACATAACAATATTGTGAATTCTGAAACTTGACTTGTATTTGCCTTTTAATTTATTTGGGACTGTAATGACTTATTTTACATGCAGTCTAATAAACTTTTTATAGACTTAAGTACTTTTGTTATTATGTTAATACTATACTTGCATAATGTACTGACTAACATTGCTACCTCGCCTGGTGACTGTGTAGAGATGAAGACATCTGAGTACCCTCTCTTTTACTGAAAAAAGTTAACTTCTGCTCCTTCAGATAAAAAGAAATCCAGCTGTGTCAAATGACAAATGTGACCCATCTTGTACATCAAACAGAATATAACATGCTTCGTAACCTTTCCAGAGTTTCCATTGCATTTACCCAGGTTTGGTGGGAATAACTCTGCCAAGAAGAAAACAGGAGAATGAGCGTCCATATGACAAGCTCTACTAAGATATTTTGGTAGTTGTAGAACAATTGGGCAGTTTTCCTTGATTTCTTAATATAACTACTCCTTTAAATTTACGTTAAAAAAAAGGTTTAAAGTATCTCTTAGTTCAGTTCTGTGAACACATTTCTTAAGCCGGTTTCACTAATGGCTTAATGTTAATCAACACAATGTTACAAACAGCAAGAATTCAACCTATACACACTTAATGGAGAAATATCTGCAGTGTTGTAAAATGTGGAATGACCAGAGACATTCATCTACTCTGGAAAATCTGTAAACAAGTCTCGGTCAAGACCAGATTCCTGAACGTTCTCGTTTCCGGCGGACGATGGCGGCTACATCTTGTTTGAGTGTGGAGACGCTCTGTTCCAGCTGCTCCGAGAAGTCCCTCAGGAGACGACTCTGCTCATCCACAAACAGTCTGAGCCCCAGCAGGTCAGACTCCTCCTGAAAACAACAGGAACACACAACCTCAAAACTAACCTCAACAGATAACCATACACGTGCACAGTATACACTACGGATTCACACTAGCAACTGACTCTTAATTCTACTTGGGACTTTTCCAAAAATTAATCATTACAAACACAGGTGTCTCACTGTAGCCCTGACTGTAAATTCCACAACCTAAACATGCCTTTCCTGTCTGGTTTGCAGACGTTTCTTTTACAGCTGGTTTTGATGAAACCAAAGTAGGTAAGTTATTAAAATCCTCACAAGTTAATGTGGCGAGTTCACAGGAATCTTATTAAAACTTCTTTTGAATCGTGTAGTGTTCTCTATAGATCCACTGTTGATTAACTATAATCAGGAGGCCTTATTTTAGTAATGCTCACTAATGCTGCACACAGAAGGGGATACGTACACTGGGCCTATGTCTGCGCAGGCGCTGCAGCTGACCCCTGACTGAAGTCATGCTGTGGTAGAAAACCTTGAGAGCACGAGCAAACTCTGCATCACAGCTGGGACGCACCAAGCGACCACGCACGCTCTCCCCACCTAACACCCAGAGGGAGAAAGGTGTGTGAGAGAAAGAATGCATTAATCAATGATATCATAAAATCTTTAAAAATTTTAGGAATGTAAATATTGTGCCGTGAAACATCTGTAAATCCTGTCTGTCTATTTGTAATGTAAAATGTAGTAATCAATTAACAAGATATTGACCCTGATCTTGGTGTGTATGTATGTTTCAGTTACCATTCCTGGCTGTGTTGAGTTGTTCTCTCAGACTATGATTTTCTTTTCTCAGTGAAGCATTAACACTCTTCAGCTCTTCCAAGTCCTGTTGAAGAGCTCTCACTGAACAGCTGAGCTCTGCAGAGTCTACAGGCTGCACAACACACACACACTCAAGTTGCCAGGAATTTCTCATTAAGTCCTACTGGAAGAACCAAATATTACAGTTGCTGAAATCTATGATTTTACAATTCTGCTGTCTTATAACTTATCTTGCAGTTAGTTAAATGCTTAATGTATTATGTGTCTGTTCCATAGTTTTGTATATTAGCTTCAGAAACGTGTCACAGTGAAAGATCATTGCTGACACAGAAATACAAACTCTACATCAAACTCACTGCAGTGTCCGCTGGGTCTGCCTCCTCGATGATAAATACGCCCTCTGTAGTCATCCTCACTCCCTCTAGAGATGATATCAGGCCAGTACAACCCTCTGAAACAGGAGCTTCAATGATACTTTTGTCTGTTGTACATTTATATTAATTACTCGAGCATGAAATAAAATAAAAAGTTTCTAACTAGGGTGCAAGATGACAATTTCATCCCACTCCAACTCCTCTCTGCAAGTCTGAGGGAGGCAAAAAGGCAACTGTCATTTTGGGCTGCTGCTGTGAAATGAGATAATACAGCAGTGTGATGCTGTGAAATAAAGCATTCATAACAAAATGTATTTGTTTTACATGCATGTTTTGTGGGGAACATTTAGTGAACCTTGTGAGCTGGAGGCCTCAGTAAGTTTCCTATATACCTGCTGGACCCACACAAAGAGTCTTGCCCAGTCATCCATCCATCCATCTCTTCATCCTCACCTTGAAGGCCCCAGAGCTCCAGCACTACAGCGCTGCTCTGCAGGTAGTCCAGCAGACGTTGGGAGGTGTGCAAGGAGGCAAAGTGAACTCTGTGATCCAACAGAGGGTTGACGTTGTGCCACACGGCCGGAGTGTACAGAGACTGGCAGCAGTCAAACAACCTGAAACTGAGACAGTGAGGGAAGAGGAAGAACAAAGGACAACAAAGTACAGTATCTAACTTCTGGCCGTACGAGTCAAGAGGACAGTGATTATCCCAGTCTATCATGACACTTCACTCTTAGTCCTTGAACAGTTCTGTAATGTGTCTCGTCTCCAATAAACGCTAAAGTCATTGATGACCTACATGTTCCCCACATATCTTCTGCTATATCTTATCTTGACCTCCAGTTCCTGGGCTATCATTTATTGTAGGAATTATCAGCATCCTCCCAGTATTTCAAACTCCACTCAGTGCTTCCCATGCCTCCACATGTAGCCCCATATGCCTCACCCAATTTGGACCCCTCTATTGCGGGCCTCTCTGATCCAGCGGAGGCCACAACACTGTTCCAGAACCAGCTGGAAGTCCAGTCGTCGACCCAGTAACTCAGACGGGTCGATCATAATGTCATCCTCCCCCAGAGGGCTGGAAGGTGAGAAAGATTATTTACTAATATATCTATATGTTTATTACATTATTCACAATGTGTGTGTGTGTGTGTGCTACATACAGTCCCGTGGAAGTGCAGGGAACCAGCTGTGCTTGTAGAATGGCCTCCTCTGTGCCCTCTGAACCCAGCACCTGCAGACAGAGGTAATCAAACAAACTCTCTCAAAGTAGAGACGTGTGCATGTGTGTGTGTATGCAGTATATCTGTGTGTGTACCTCAAGTTGCTCTTCCAGGGGGATGCGGAAGGCCAAAGACTGAAGCCAGAGGTGAGCAGTCCCCAGGAGCAGAGGCTCCACAGGATCCCAGAACGGGTCTTTATCTCTGGGTAACGCAGCTGCAGACAGCCCCTCTAGTCTCTGAGGGCAAGTCAAATTTCAAAAAAGTTTTTCCTCTGACTTGTAAGCACGTTAATGGTAAAGCTAGCTTGTTTTGACTGTGCTGACATTGTATTGTATTTTGATTGTAGATTTACTAAGACTCATTCCATCAAGCCGCAGTTGAAAAGCACAGTGAGATGATCCTCTCTATGATTGTGGTATATATTATTGTCTCCTCTCATGCACCTTTCACTTATTTTAATGTTTCTCTCTAATCACAGATTTAAATGATTTCAAGCAGAAACACAATAAAGTAAGTACAAAATACACACGTCAGCAAATCCCTTATACATCTATACTTGGCAAATTTTTGTTTTGTTTAGGTTTTGAAATAATTTTTAGTCTGTGCTGAAAATGAACATGATTGATTTGTAAATGGTCTCTAACATTACATTGTCTCCGCTCTTCTCAGCCTGATGCTGCTGGTAGACGTCTTCCATCAGGAATTTACGGTTCACAAACTTGGCCTTGGACCACATCCATACCTGGGAAGGGAGTGAAACAAAAATACAAGACCTGAACTCAAACCTCAACTGAAATTGGGATTATTAAAACCTTATGATTTAGTGTACGTGAGAGACAGAAAGAAAAATACAGACAGCCCAACCTGTTTTCTTCCCATAACAGTGACTCTGACAACAATCTCCTTCTCCAGATCGTGGCCTTTTGAATCTGACAGTGCCAGATTCTTGATTTCCAACTTAAACTCCACCCCCTAGAAACACAGCACACAGTAAAGAGCAGGTGTTTATCAATTGTTAATACATAACCATGACCACATGAGACAATAAAAACAAAAGATATATTTATGTTATTTTATTTACCGACATAACTGCCTCCAGTATTAACCAAAAAAACAAAAAAAACATTTAACATAGAAGGTCAGTGGGAGTGAATCTGTGCTACCTTGTTCAGCTCCTGGCTCATCTGATTGGCCTCAGCCACCATGGGCATCAGTTTGATGTAGTCGTAAAAGACGGCCAGCAGACTGGGGTCAGTCTGACTGGAGCCAGCACAGGATTCACCTAAACACAGACGCATAAAAAATATCTAACAAGTTTCCTTCCAAAATTACACTTTAATTACAGCTAATGATCACCCTGCTCACCCAGGTGGATGCCCTCAGCGGCAGCCAGTTCAGACTGGAAGTAGTCGTAGTCGTAACGGCTCCAGTCATCACCACCCCTCTCAGAGGGATAACCAATGAATAGATAGGTACAGTTGGAACCGAGAATGAGGCGGTCCTAGAGGGAGACAAAAGATTAAAAGAGGGAAATGCTTTGTGTGTGTGTACAGTAACACACATGTCACACAGCCCTATCATAAAGTTTGTGTGTGTGTGTGTGTGTGTGTGTGTGCGTGCGTGTGTGTGGAGACCCACCAGGTGCTGCAGCTCAGTTGTCTGGGAGACAGCATTGCCATTGACAATGAGCTTTGACCCTGCCAGCGGGGTCAGTGTTACCCGCCGTTGTTCGTTCCTGAACACAGCATGACGCTCCTGGATCCTGACACACAAAAACACACATACATAAATGAGTGTGTATAAGCTCAGATACAAAATTGGATTGAGTGATACTTGCATCTCAACATTACTCAAGTTCCAGACAAA